ATCTCCTGGAGGAGAAAAATGAGTGATGACACTTGTACTGCCTTATATCAAATGTATCAGTATGTTTGAGATACGTTTCTTGTAGACAGAATGCTGACGGTTTAAAATCCTGAATTAACAATTGTATTTCATTAAAATTATTTCTGAGTCCTCTGCAATTCCATTGCATTATATTTGATAAATGGCTCATGGTGGTTCAATGGGTGATCTCTCACGCGGACGTGACGGAGAAGAACTCCTCACAGAAGTCTGTGATGATGGAGTAATGTCCATGTCTAGAGCACTGTAGGTGTTCTTGACAGGCACCTCTGACTGAGAAGAATTCCTGGACGATTGTTTCCTGTTTAACTTCTTTCTTTCACGTTTTGTTATAGTTGTAGCTGCTGCTTGTTGTGGAATTTGTTGTGACGGCGTCTGACTCTCTGCCTGGGATGTTGAAGGTGCCTGAGATGTTTGACTGTCTGTTGGATCTTGCTCGATGACTGGTGTAGTTGGCATGGGGCGAACAGATTTGACCCACGTCAACTCAGTTTGACATGATACAGATGAAATCTGAGTTGACCGTGTGACAGCAGCGGAAAAGTTAAGTGTTGATGGAGTAGCTGATTGAGTTATCAGTTTTTTAGCCTCTCCAAAAGAAATGTTTTGTTCATACTTTAGTTTAAGGATTTTTGATTCTGTTTGCCAAACAGGACAGAGTTTTGAGGATGCCAAATGTTGGCCATCACAGTTTACACATTTGAGTGCTTGCTGGCAATCAGGATTCTCATGATTGTCACCGCAGCGTTGGCAAACCGTATGACGAGTGCAGTTCTTGGAGCCATGGCCAAACTTCTGACATCTAAAGCACCGGAGTGGATTGGGGACATACACCTCCACTCCGATGTTGACATAACCAGCTTTGATTGACTGTGGTATTTTGGACCGCGCAAAAGTGAACAAGTAGGTATTTGTTTGTTCAATGGTTGAATCTGGCCTTTTTCTGGTGAAACGTTTCACCGAAGACACTCCTTGATCTTTCAATTCTGCTGCTATGTCTTGTTCCGACATGTCGGACAAGGAACGGGTCCTGTCGCGAACAATGCCTCTGCAGGAGTTAAGTGTCCTGTGTTCGGAAACAACAACCTCAATATTGGCAAATTGATGAATCGATAACAGATTCAGGGATTGTTGCTTCCTTACACATTCGACAAGCAAGGAGCCAGAGCGAAGTCGGGTGACATTCTTCACCTCTCCACAATATCCATGAATAGCCTTTGATATGGCAAAGGGGTTGAGTTTAATAGGCAAATGGTCTGTAGCTTCTATCACGAGGAATCGAGCCCAGGAATCAAAATCTGCAGTACTCTCATCAGATGAACTTGACTCTAAATGTCTACGCTTGGAACCAGTATGATTATGAGCCATGGTGAAAGGAAATGTTTCATCAACCCTGCTCCCCACCCACCACGGAGTGTCAACAAGGACAGTGTGTAACTGTGACGGATATCCAAGGCACAAACACCAGGGATACAAGGTTGATATACTCAAGTGAATAAGACGCAAATAGCAGTATTTGTATACCAAATCTACTGCCAGGCTGGTTCTGCCCATGACGATAAACAGGATACATACCGAATTTGGAGGTCAACATCACCAGATTGGCCCATGAGCCACCGCCTTCTGGCATAGGACTCTAGGCATTGACATATATTGATAATTTGAACGTTGAACATTTAACCAACCAATACCCAATAATAGAAATGTGCAAAAATATTCACCATGCACAGGGCTTGGCGTGACCAGCCGATTGATAGAACCGGGCCAGTTCTACCACCCGTCTAGGTGAAGTAAGGGGCGAAGTGGTGTGTTGGGCAAAGGAACACTGTTCCTGGAACCAGTGCCCTCAACCACCAGCCTCCCGTCCTCCACCGACACAGGGGCGCAACCCACGGCAAACGGGTTGGTGGACCAAAATATCCCCCCCGGGTCCACAACGGGGGGTTGAAAGGCGCTTAGCGTGACCCAGCACCCACCACGAGGAGGTGGCCTTTCATGGGTGCCTAATGCGTAAATGAGATAAAACAACAAAGGATGCCTGTTGTTAACCTTTGCTGATTGGAAATAACATCTCACAAATGGACGCCCGGTGTATTTTGGACTAACTGTCTGGCTGCAGTCAACAATATTCCAGCTATATGATGGCGGTCTGTAAATAATTAAGTCTGGACCAGACAATCAAGTGATCAACCCCATGAGCATCGATCTACGCAACTTGGATACGATGACATGTGCCAACCAAGTCAGCGAGCCTGACCAGCCTACCCCGTTAGTGTTGAGGACGAGACAAATTGTAAAATTCAGGGGTGTAAAATTGGCAGAATGATGCCAATTCGTTCCCTGTAGCTCCATTTGACGTCAGGTGATGACAGTTGTTTGACAGGATACTAGAGTCGTGGATCCTTGCTCTTCCAAATCAAAAGCTTGCTTCCCTTTTCAAACACCCAAGGAAAACCCAACTCCATTTGTATAGATAACTTATATGTTAAAACCTGGACTTTCAATCTGGAGGCTGTAAAAACATTTACAGAAACCTGATGAAGGCAGCTGGTTTGGTTGCACATGTATGATTATAATACGCTAAATTAAAGGTCGATTGTACAGTTTTAAGGAAAAACTATTTCACAGCAAAACGCCTTCTCTCGAACATGACGATGGTCAGTATTTTTGACAAAGACTCCTTATCTTTCTACGTGACACGATCTTCAGATATGGCTAGTTAAGGAAAGATTTTTACTTGCTGAGCTAAACATTTTCCATTTTGAGTACCGTTTATTTCTATGATGAAATGTAAAGAACAAGCTTACAGAATATCATTTACATTCTGTACATGACGTACAATAAATATTACGCCTGTGTAAACGGGGCACCCGTAAAGACCCACCTCCTCGTGGTGGGTGCTGGGTAACGCTAAGCTCTTCAACCCCCGTTGTGGACCCGGGGGTATATTTGGTCCACCAACCCGTTTGCCGTGGTTGCGCGCCCTGTGTCGGTGGAGGACGGGAGTCTGGTGATTGAGGGCACTGGTTCCTTCGTAGACAGGGTTTTATCATATTCATATATTCCATTTCAATGTCAAATATGTTCTCTCGTCACGATATGGCTGAGATATTGCCGATGTGACGTTAAATATTAACTCACTCACTCACTGTGTAAACGGACGCAATGACTTCGGATCCGTGGTATATATGAGTTGACGAGAAGCCGAACAAACGGCGTTACAGATAAGGACTGATCCAAAACCATCTGGTAGAGACCCAGGGCATACCAACTTCAAGGTTGAGGACATCGCCAATACACGTGACCAACATCTGATGTACTTTAGCAAGGTTATTCGACGCCTAAGGTGCAAACATAAACATGTGAACTTGAGGTTTCCGATCTTGTGATAAGAGTGTAACCTTGTGGAAATGTTTAGGGATTACCGACTTAACATGAACAGTCTCGTGAGTATTCTTATGATACTCACCAGATATAAAACGATAAAAACAAGCAAGTTTGGCTTTACTGGAAATACTCCATTCTCCGTAATTGTGTTTGTTCAGAGATTTTATACGAAATAGGAGGAGAACGGAAAAGGATTTATGCTGTACAAAAATAAACTCTATGACATCATATGAACTGGATAAATTGTTAAATATAATACAAGGTTATTTAATTCAGTATATTTGTGTTGAGTGCAAGGTGACACGGGTTGTATGCCTATTTTGTTGAATCCACGGCATATATAATTGACTTGTCTGATCTATTGGTTGTTTAAAACCATAATTGGCAATATTCCAGATGTATTGCAACTGCCTGTACAAAATCAACTCCAAGACAATCCAGTGATTGGTATTGCCTGCAACCTGCAAAGCCTAATTCGTACGATGACGCCCACTGAACCACACGACTGGGACTGTTCGCATAAGTCCGCTCTTATGTATTCTAAAGTTTGCACATAACTCATAAATGAAAAGGCAAACTTTAAACAAAGATTGTCATATACGTTTTTTACAGGCTCATTTTCCAAATGCTACTATATGTATGTGCTTATGGGGTTTATCAATATATTTCATGTACTGTTATGGACCAGTGTCCTGCATGAACTGATTGTGGAATATAGAAGTATAACCCAGCTGAAATACAAATGCTGTGCAATTGACATGGAGGACATGCTGAGATGTACTCATTGTATTTATTATTTATCATGTAAACCACACATATATTTATGTTGACGGCCCATTTGACTAACTGATAAATGATGAAATATTTGACAGTATCAGCTATAATGGTGATAACGAAATTATATATGTTCATTTCATGCAGTAATTCCACGAACTGTATCACCCTGGGCTATATGTAACAAACTTCAGACTCATCGATATTAAAAATGATCACAGTCATTTATGTCTCAGACTGTCTGGTACAATGAGTGAAGCCCATTTCTGGTGTACCCCGCCGTGATATTGCTGGAATAATGCTAAAAGCGGCGTAAAACCAAACTCAGTCAGTCAGTCAGTCCTGTTAATAAAACTATATTTCGATATACTATAGCCTGACATAAACTGTAGGGTAATGACAGGATTCATATTTCCCAACGTGATACAACAAAAATGAAAACAAAGTTAAAAAATAGGATATATACTTTTTAAATTATCTTTCGCCTATCTTAATCTTGTTGTGTAAGATTTACAAGTGGCAAACACAGCAAATTTGTCACATCGTCACGCAACATTATGTCTTCTATTTAAGTTAATGTCTATGCTAATATGCGCTGAAAAAGGTTTACCAAATGACACTAGATTGAATACAATTCAACGGATCTAATAATCATATTCATTTTAATGATCTGAGGGAAGACTTAGCTGCCATTACAAGCGGTTTAGTCTTGAAAAGCTTTTCAAACGTCCCCAAAAGAATATCTTGAAATCTACACGAAAGTTTCTCTTAAAGGGGGTTACTTATAAGCATAAAGAAAGTCGAAAATGAAACAGACCAACCATCTGGTCCTAAAGAATGCAATGGAAATTCCTTTCTCGGATAACATACGATAAGAAGATCATTATGTATAAAAGTGGCCACAGAGCTAATGAAAACTGACCGAACCTTGGAGCAGGTGGTATGTTGATGCCAAGGTGGACTTGAATCATGCTTATTGTGAGTACAAACATCGTTGTTGACTTAAGAATGTTAGGTGGATGTCTGCGTGCATGGCCCATGGTCAGAATCAACAGTTCGACTTGCATTTCGACCTCTCCTGGTACACTGATTCCAAATAGGATAATAGACAGGCAGTTGCCAGTGTGAAAGGGCAATACGTACGACGGGTTGTGCCAGTTGTGACCAGAAGACACAACCCTTTTCCTTCTCTTTTAATACACCCGAGTTTCTTATGATTGTTTATGAAGAAAACATGCTAAGTTATTCAATTCAAAATTATTATTATTATGACACTTTTCGGCATAGTCCAGTTATATATTTAATAGTATATTTATATAATCAACTCTACTCTGAATTAAGTGTCAGCTGGTATATGTCATTAACCTGATACAAATACTCCATATTCAACTATTGAAGAATAGGATGCAGCTCTGATATGGTTTTACAAATAATAGTGACGTAATTATCTATAAATACATTTCCACGTGTTTGTTACCTGGTTCTATAAACAAAAATTGCATGTATAAGCTCCTGATTGACCGTATACCATTATAGCCAGGCCCACAAAGCAACTTGATAACAATGATGATACTAATAAGGGGGCGCGGTGGGCGAACTAGCTAAAGCGCCAGGCTAGAGGCGAGCTTGAGGTGCCGGGATCGAGCCCACCTGTGACCGGGTGTAAAAACCTTGGAGTCAACTTTGTGTGCAGACTCTTTCAGTGTGTCACAACCTTTAGTGTTCGGTACACAACCCTGTGCACTTAAAAGAACCCACGAATCCGTTGGTATATGACCAGATGGTGGCCACATGAATACGTGCAAACACCTGGTTGCGGGTACAGCAATGTGCAGTAAACATGGACAAAGTACTGTGACTATGTGTCCCAGTCCACCCAGCTGTAAATCGGTACCTCGTAAGGATGGGAATGCCTCACTAACTCGGTGCGCCTAGTGGCTGCAAGAGTTGTATGATCCCCAGGGAGTTGAGATTGACAATACGATGTGCCGTTGAGATTGACATCCAGTGAACGAGGGAAAAACAAAGCGCCTTTGAGCAGCTGAGCTGAGCTGGATATCGGCGCTTACAAATGTTAGTATGTATGTATGTATGTAATATTGATGTTATGATCTCACAAATGAGCTTTTTAGTACGTTTCAAGGTAATAATCCAATGGTAATTTAACTTGACTTACTTGACAGAAAATGAAATGGACACTGGTCTACTTCACTTTGAGCCTGGCAGTCGTCGGTGTGTACAGTGACACGACGGTGACGATCCACCCTCAGTGGCTGGCACAGGGAGGTAGTGCTCGCTACGACAGCAATAGGTGGAACAAGCACAATAGCCTGGATCAAGAAGACATCATTCCCAAATGTCGGAACCTTCGGACTGACGCTGGGCGCTGGAATAACAATGGCCTTTCGTATCAGCTCTTCGCAGATGTGAGACCCTCCTTTTACATAATAATGGAATCCACTAACTAAGCTATACAAGATGTTGACAATACAATGTCGATTATCAGGTATTTGATTCATTTCAAATTGTTATTACATGAGGACCTTCAGTCATTCAGATGAAACTCAAAATAATACACCTTACGAACAACTTGTAACTTCTCAGAACTGTATGTTAAGATATCAAATTCTTTAGTTTGTGTCAATATCTATCCCAGGCGCGTTTTGCATATCAACAATTGCAGTCTCCTCACAACTACTGCACGCACAAATGAGTGTGACATTGATGGCTGCTTTGATGGCACCATATATACATTGCAAAAGAAATAGGGGCATGTGCTGCAATCTATATTGGCATGTGCTGCAATATTATGGGTTAAAAATTGTTCCTGGACTTTTCAATGGGTTATGGTTAATTTAGTTGATAGGTATAGTATTTCAGGTTTGGAAAGTGTAGCATTGGACATAATTATGTATTTATTGCGTTTGGTAAGTACTTGTCAAGAATGACGATGTTGCATTCATAGACGTATATTACGCAGTGACATCGCCTAAGGTGCTCTACAAGTCTACGTATGCTTAGAAATAGACTGCTATTGATAACAGAGTGTACACGGTGCTCGACATATTTTACTTGAAAGTATTAATATTCAATAGCACATTCAAATCGAAAAACACATATTCTTCTCTAACCTGAATGTTTACATTATGGGAAAATATGGCCCTTCAAAACGGAAGACCCATCATGTTCCTTTCAGAAGTGAATGTTAACATGATGGAATGAAAATTCATTTCAGTGGCCTGAGGACCCAAATCGTAGAGGCTACCCAGATCCCAACTACTTGAAGAATGCCACCAAACAGAAGGAAGTGTTTTCCTTATACCTTGATAATATTAACAGTGGTTATGAGAACGACGTGATCATGATGTCAGAAGGTAAAACTATATTTATGCACTGAGCTGAAGATATCCAATTCCATTGGGATCTGTTCCACGTTATTTATCCAATTCTTTGGCCCTGTTGAAAATAATGTTTTGGCAATTTTTCAGCTCTTAAGACTTTGCACGTAATAAATTCTTATTGTACTTGTACTGTAATCAAACAGGTTTAGATATGCAATATATTAGTGTATGACTATATTTTGAGGAGATGTCGATGTTTTCAAAGAGTAGTTATTATTATAAAGCTGATATTCGGGAGAAGAAATTTAGATCCACCCGTGTCTTTGACCGCGTTCAGTGTTTCTTAATAAGGCCATACATTCTCATCGTCAAGGACCGCCTCCGTGGTGTAGTGGTTAGAGCATCCTCCCGGAGAGCGGAAGGTCGCGGGTTCAATCCCCGACCGCGTCATACCAAAAAACGTTAAAATATGGTACTTGTTGGTCCCTGCCTGGCGCTCGGCATTAATGGATACAACAAGGACTGGTCGGCTCGGAGTCAGTATAATGTGTCTGAGTGGGGTATTCATGCTTCACTGCGGTATGTTATCTCAGTGGGCTAGCACTATAAAACCAGCTTCAGTCTGGCCTAGTACAAGCAGCCGCATATACACATACACACGCATGCACGTCGTCATATGAGCGAAATATTCTCAAGCATAACGTTAAACCCAATTTCACCTCACCTCCCCTCATCGTCAAGCCATGAACAGATGCAAAACTGAAGATGCAGTGTCAAACCATATTCACTCACACCAAATTTCGTATCATTACAAGAATTCAATCACATATCATATTCTTTTCTGTAAAAAACCCCGCACTTTCTTCATGTGTTTGTTCATGTCATTTACAGGTCTGGGTATTTACCCGAGTTGGCTGAACCAGTCTGAGCATGCAGGTCAGTTCCCAAACAACGTTGATGCTGCTGCAGAGTTCATGATGTTGATGGTGCAAGGAGTTTACGACTTCACCAACGGACGGATCCCACCCTACATTGAACCTATGAATGAACCAGACCCCAAATCAAGCATCTTGAATTTCACAACTGTTGCCCTATTCCACAAATTAGTTGCGGAGAAGCTCCATTCAAGATTTAACATGAAGGTTGCTGGTCCTACACTCGACGGTTTCGCCAGAAGTTCAGATCAAAACAACTTTACCAACTGGAAAGCAATTTCAAATTTCATGGACGTCACTCGAGGCTATTTGGACGTGTTTTCCTTTCATTCGTACAACTCACTTATTGTTTCTGGAAAATCTCACAAGTTTACAGGCATGAACGAAGCGCGATTAGTAGCATTTGTCGACTTGGTTGAAAGTTATGCCTATCTGAAAACAGGGAAGCTTTTACCGCTTGTAATCAGTGAATATGGTCGCGACATGGTGGAAGGAATGAACAGAACTACTCTATCACCAATAGTGGATTTTGCAACAATTTACCATTCTAATGCCCACCGATTCACTCAGCTTGGTCTCCGGGAGTACATTGACAGGGCAGTGGTATTTCTTTTAGCCCAAGTAGGAAATCTATATAACAACTGGTCACTGTTCACTCGCGAAGGACAACCCAGAAGTATCATCGACGTATACGAGTTTTGGTACAAATTCAACTCAGACTATTCCTTTATCAGAACTACCAGCCAGTATGATGGAGAAGAACGAATCGTTTCACCGTTAGCAATGTCAAGTCCGCTGAATAATGAAACAGTCATTCTTTTGCACAGCTATTCTCAAAAATCACAGGCTGTCAAGGTCGACTTTGAAGACGGCTGGATCAAACCAACCACGGGAGAAGCTACCTGTGTCACCATAAAGGACAACTGGTACCCAGTCATCACCTTCAATAACACAGTTGACATCCAGAAGACAAAAGGAATTATTGAGCTTCCTCCTGAAGCATCATGTCACTTTACATTCAAGACCCCCTCAGATCAACTACCAAGAGTCACATTCAATGAAACAACATTCTACGGATCTGATATACTTATTCCAGTCAAGGGCAATGTTGCCATGACAGAAATATATCTACCAAGAGCACAATATCACAGCGCTAGACTGAGAGTTGCAGCCAGTTGGCCGGACAATGAAACAAACAGTATATCATATCTTACCTTTAACGACCACCGCCTTGACTCTTTCTATCAGCTGTATGATGCCAATATGATTAAAAGCACAACCTACTGGGAGGTTTGGGAGTTCGTAGTCCCTACCTCCCTGTTTGACACTGGGGCTAACCAGGTACAGGTTCACTTCTCAAACAGCATGACAGCAGGACATGTTTCGTCAGTTGCTCTTGTTACTGCTCAACTCATTCCTTCTGATTTGAAGTGACGGTAATGACAAACCCGTCAAATTGGACATCAGGAAACAAATTCCATAAATAAATCATTGTTGTTACTTAAGACCAAATGTTTGTGCTTGAAGTGTTGTCCTCATCCTGAATACTATAATATTAATCACCATTAGGTTAATATGGTCTGCGTTGACAACAACGTTAATTGGCGAGCAAAATAAACTGGTGAGCTATTTGATGACATGATATAAAAGCTTAGAAGCAGTTTGTGTAGACCTTTTCATTCTCTCTTTTGTTTTCATTTGTTGCCACATCTAGCATTATGGCGAGGCTAGCCATGGCGATTCCGGTTAGAATTGGTTTCCAGCAACCAATGCCTGTCGTAAGGAGCGACTAATAGTACCGGGTGGTCAGGCTTTCTGACTTGGGTTACAAATGTCAATGTATCCTAAATGCGTAGATCGATGCTCATTATGTTGATGACTGGATTGCCTTGTCCAGACTCCATACAGCAGGAATATTACTGTATGCGTACAGCGTTAAACTACAAACAAACAAACAAACTTAAGTGATGCCTGGAATATTTGGCATTGTTTCGGGTTTTATGCCTATTTTGTTGAATCCAGGGATATAAAGGATTGATTTATCGGATTTCTTGGGTTTTAAAATCAGAATTGGCAATATTCCATACGTATGCGAACTGTCTCTACAAAATCAACTCCCAAGACAATCCAGTGATTGATATTGAGAGCAACATCCAAAGCCTAACTGATACGATCACGCCCATTGAACCACACGACTGTTTGAATAAGTTGCCTCTTATGTATTCTAACTCATATAGGAAAAGGAAGAATTTGAACAAAGAATGTCATATAAGATTGTTACAAGCTCTTTTTCCAAATGGCACGGCTCACACGTGATGAAGTATGCATGTGTTTATTGGTTTATCAATATATTTCATGTACTGTTAGGAACCAGTGTTCTGAATTGTAGAATAAAGAAACATAACCCAACTGAAATACAAATTATGTGTAATTGAAAAGGCCATGCTTAAATGTACGCATCGTATTTATCAGACTCATTTTAAACCAAACATATATTTATGTTGACAGCCCGTTTGCTGGTTCTACATGTGAGACAAACTGATAAATGGTGGAATGTTTGACAGTATCAATGGTGATAATGTAATAATATATGTTCATCTCATTCAGTAACTCCGCGAACCTTTTGATCTTGGGCTATATATAACAAAATTCAGATTCATCAATATAAAAAAAGATCAAAGTTATTTATGTCTCAGGCACCCGTGAAGAGCCACCTCCTCGTGGTGGGTGCTGGGTAACACTAAGTGCTCTTCAAACCCTTGTATGGACCCGGGGGTATATTTGGTCCACATCACCCCATTGCTGGCCTTAGGACGAATTGGGCGACCTGTTTGCGGTGGGTTGCACCCCTGTGTCAGTGGAGGACGGTAGTCTGGTGGTTGAGGGCAGTAGGAGCCTGGAACTATTGCCCAACACACCACACTCGGCCCTGTCTTCACCTAGAGGGTTAGTAGAATCGGCCGGATTCTATGAATCGGCTGGTCACGCCATGCCCTGTGCATAGAAAGTATTTTTGCACATTTGAATTATTGGGTATTGGTCATTTTGACGTCTAGTATACAAAATATTGATAAATTTACTTGCCTAGAGCCCATGGTCCCTAGTATGGTGATCTACCTTCAGTTGTTGGCGATCTATAGCCCATTTTTATACTGTATTGTCCTAATTTAAAATCCAATTTTAGAGAGAGATGCTATTTGTATTTCTTGATACTGTGATATTGTGGTCGGTTTTACTGTCCTTCGATGACAGGTTTTTATAATTTACATGCATTTATGGTGAATTCTAAACTTGTTTTAGTCACGATATGGCTGAAATATTTCCGATGGCTCAGGGGCCAATCTGGTTATATAGACATCTGAATTCTGTGTTCTTTAGAAATGTGTCATGGGCCGAACCAGCCTGGCCTGGCACAAGTCTGTATTTTCTGGAGTATAACATCCCTGTAACCCTGGTACTGCAGTCTGGTTTCCACTGCGATACCGTCTTTGTTGACACTCCATGGCGGGTGGGGGGCAGGGTTGTTGAATTATACTATTACACCATGGCTAAAAACGCTCAACCTGGTTAATCGAAAACGAGTAAACGTCGTCATATGCCTTCTTGATCCGATGAAGAGATATCTACTTTCATTAAAGAATCCTGGCCTAGGTTTTTGTCATTGAAAGTTCTGATGGAAATCCTTTAAAGAACAAATAAACTTTGCTTTTTTGTACTCTTTTAACTATTACATATGAAAGATTTGTGGTTAGTCTTATGCGGAACACGAAATTTATTTTTAACTTGTGGTTAATTCATACTGAGCGATTAAAAGTTGCCCAAAAGTAGCCTGCTTCACTCTCGCCTGCCAACGAAACCACAGACAGGTTACGTAACTCTGTCGCCAGAGCACTGGAGTGACGTCATATGAGGAAGGATTTTCAGTTAGTTGTATAGAAAGTGTGTAGCAAGCTTGTCATTTTGATGATTTCTCAACATCAACGAAGACGTGCCGAATCGTTGCGCGTTGTCGTCAGTTGCTCCTAGGGGTCAGGCGATGGTGTCGATAACTGTCACTCACAAGTCAAGCGTGAAGCTGTCAATTTCACGTGCAGCATGGGAGACTCACTAGATTGTTGGCGTGGACGCATTGGATGTTTTTGTCCCAGTCGAAGCAACTCACGGCAAGTATTGAAAAACATTTACATTCGATGAACATTTTTAATCAGACAATTGAAGTTATTACTTGTTTTGAATTCGATTATTCACATGAGTGGGAGGGGCGGTGGGGTAGCCTAGTGGTTAAAGCGTTGGCTCGTCACGCCAAAGACCCGGGTTCGATTCCCCACATGGGCACAATGTGTTAAGCCCATTTCTGGTGTCCCCCGCCGTGATATTGCTGGAATATTGCCAAAAGCGGCGTAAAACTAAACTCAGTCAGTCAGACATGAGTGGGAAATACCTCTGCGATCCTTACAACTCGAAATCTGATCGGTGTGTATGGACAATGAACACTTTCAATGGCGAGAATAGTATGAAGGATGTTTTGAATACAAAATCTGTTCCTTTCGTCTGCCGCCTTTTGGAACTGTGTTCCGATGTGGAGTCGAACCCTGGCCCACGGGGTCGGGGTGGAGCAAGCGGCAGTGCCCGGGCTAAGACAAGACAGTCCACATTAGCGTTTAATGGTGAGGGCAACTCTGATCATGGTGAGTCCGACATCTGTGATGACGATAACACCAGTGTCCTTCATCTGATCAGATCTGACATAAGCAAGCTGAACAATAAGTTCGACACGATGAGAAAGGAAATCACAGACGATTTTACGAAAATAAAGACTATCCAGACTCGAGGATGCAGTGGATAAAGGTGAAACCCACAGTAGGAGAAATAATCTCATCATTCACGGAGTGGAAGGCATTGTAGAAGAGAAATTGGCAGAGACTGAACGGCTTGTGAGAGATTTCCTACCCGACAACCACGGTATGGACAACGCTGACAACATCGAGAGAGCACACCGACTTAAAAGCAGAGGAAACCGTAAACCTATCAATGTGAAGTTCCTATCCTTCAAGGATAAGGTAAGCATAACTGATATTGCCAAGCAGAAACTTAAAGGCAATGAACAATTCCGTGTAGCTAATGATTATACAGAGAGAGTTAGGACAAGAGCAGCTTTAATTCCATTTATGGTTGATGCTCGCAATCACGACAAGAATTCTTTTCTCTCGTATAATAAGCTAATCATCGATGGCGATGTTTATGTGTATGATAATGGCAATATCAGAAAGATCAGTACAAGATTTACTAACGCCCGACTGGAGTCAACGCTGCGCAGTTCTCACGGGCCCATGGAGGGACGCCTCCTGGGTCCTGGGGGAGCGGCGTCATGGACACCCAGGGGCGTCTGTTTCAGCCTAGGAACTCGGCCGTGACCTACACCCTGAGCTGGACACAAGATCTACACCTCAAGACTCGAGAACTGATTCCTTCAAGAACTTGAATATGTGTGCATGGAACATTCATGGTCTGCACTCGCACCTAAAAGATAATTCATTTATGGATTTCTGTGCACAGATTGACATTTGTGGTCTTTTAGAAACGATGCAAAGTGATTCCACTACGCTTTATGGTCTTTTTACAGAATTTATATGTTATGCATCACCGGCAAACGTTTACGGAAATATGGTCGTTATTCTGGGGCAGATAGGTGGGTGACATATTTTAAGAGCCTGTTAAACCTGACGTGTCGGGAAACAAATGTTGAGTTCAACGAGAATGTTGACGCATTTGACTTTTTATCTGCACCAATTACCAGAACAGAAATAGAAAATGCAATCAAAGTGTTAAAATCTTGTAAATCCCCAGGTATTGATGGAACACCACCCGAATTCTTCAAACCTGCTCAATGCATACTTCCCTACCTAGAAATATTGTTTAATGCTATTCTGGACAGCAGCAGTTTTCCTGATAGCTGGAATGTTGGCTTGATCATTCCACTCTATAAAAAGGAAGCACTCATGAACCAAATAACTATCGTGGAATCTCTTTGTGGAATGTAATGGGGAAAATATTCACTTCTATCCTCGAAGTCAGAATCCGTATCTGGTAAGATTTAAACGAAATATTACATGAATGCCAAGCAGGGTTTAGCCAGATTACTCATCAGCTGATAATATGTTCGTTCTGCAAGCTCTAAGCCAAAAGTATTTAAGAAAACCTAAACATCGGTTTTACGCAGCTTTCATTGACTTTCGGAAGGCCTTTGATTATATAGACTGAAACAAGCTTTTATATGCTCTTATCTCCAAAGGTATACATGGGAAAATAATACGAATCCTCAAAAACATGTATGATAAGGTATCTGCTTGTGTAAAAATATGTAGTGTACGAATAGAAGTATTTTCGGCAACATCTGGACTACGACAAGGATGCATTCTCAGTCCTGTTCTGTTCATTTTCTTTATCAACGAATTAGTAGATACAATGAATGCATGTGGCCTACGAGGAATATTTGTGAAAAATGGTATGAATCATATACTTTTATTGCTATTTGCAGATGACGTCACTCTCATTGATGACACAGTAATAGGTTTACAAAAAAAACCCTGGATACATTAAAATCACTCTGTATCAAATGGGGTCTAGAAGTTAACTTAGATAAATCCTGCATTATTGTTT